GTCAGGGACCTGGTGTGGGAGCTGGATCCTCAACTCTGACCAGAGCTGACCTTTTTACTTAGAAAAGCACTCTGACATCAGTCATTCCTTAGAAGTAAATAGTGTTCTTACTCCTGTTATGTTCACAGATAAACAATATTATTTAAAGTCTTTAATAAATAAAACATCTAACCAATTGCTTGCCACAGAGAAAAAAAAAAAGGAGACTTTTAATATTTAATGGACCTTTAATATCAATGTATAGCCTAAAGGAAGTATCCCTTTTCCTCCTTCCTTCTATGGAAGTAAAAGCTGATAAGACAAGCAAGTCAAATATAAAACAAAAAGTTAATGCATAATTTCCCCACATCATTCCATTTCCATTAGACCACACTCTTAATAAAACCTAGGTTTCATTTTAAAACATAAGTTCCTAAGACAGAAAAGCTTGTATACTATCCAGCTGCACCACCTAGCTTCCCTCTGAAGCATCTTAGCATCCTGTTTTTTAAGATAGTAGTGTTTATATTCCTTCAAGGTCAGTGCTTCTTCCAAGCTACTCGCTACTCCTCCGCTGTCTCTCACCATCAATTTTGCAAATAATTCTTGAGCTGGGACATGGGAGATTTGAAGAAACCTTTCACCAAACAAGGTGAAAGTTTTTCAATTAAAAATGGGTAACATGCTTAATAGCACATTGACTACAGGAGCAGCATACAGCTTGTTCTTCTCTTTAAGTGATTATATACATACATATTTTTAATTTAGTACAGTACATTATGTCAAAGAATCACATCAACAGTGACATGTACTGGCTAATCAGCTCGGGAGCCCATGAATATCAAACAAGTTTCAATTTTTTGCAATCTGCACTTTACCATGGGCTGAGCTGAGCATCTAGGTAAACAGGAAGTGCTCCTACTAGAAGCCTTCAAATTCTTGGCCTACTGCTCATTTTTTCCATGTCTACCATGGAACAAGTTCAGGGAGTCTAGAGATTTTTAAACCACCTTTTCCCATAAAATTTATAAAGCTGCTTCTTCTAAGTTTAGCTAAAATCAGACAGTGGTTTCAAAAATTGCTGTGGAAGGAAGCATTTCTGCAGAAAAGCATGAAAAAAAAGTAGAAAAAAAGCGAGGTCTGTGTTCTTTGAGAGATAAGAAATAAAGGTGGTACACTCTAGACTAAAAAGGTCACAGTGAGTTTGCCAGCTCAGAGCAGGAACTCTTCACTACAAAGCTTGCTTTTAGAAAAACTATCAAGATGATTTACAACAGCAGAAGATATTAAATCTATTTTACACATGTCACACAACTGCATTTTACTCCCTGTCTGCCAGTATCCAGAATATCCTCAGATAGAAGCAATTCTGACAATTGTGTTTTGCTCCTTAATCTTATTTGATTGCTGCTGGGCTTCACCAGATATTCCCTATAGAGAGAACAAAGCGCTAGGTACTTCAAGAGCCTCAGGCTACAACCTTTACTCATGCACCACGAGTACCAAATGCAATAGGCCTCTGCACACAGGCAAAGTTGTAAGATCAGGCTAAAAATCTGAAAGCAAAAAAAAAAAAAGTTTCACACACACACACAGCAGCTATGAAACTACTAATGAATTTAACACATACAAAAAACAGAGCCCATTTTCCAAGCTGTCTGATTTCACAATATGCCCCATCTTCTTGTATTTGCAGGATTCCAAGTATTTTGTAACATGATTCAAGTTCTTTCCTCAGCTGGATTTCCTGCAAACTGTTAGTTTTAGTCTTTAAGCTTAGATGTTTATTTTCACTCTACATACCTGTACTCTATCAGCAACTACAATAAGAACTGTAACAGAAAGCTTTTCAGCTGGGAGAAGCATCGACTACTGCCTGTCCTACACTGCCCACTGCAGCTGCAACAGAGAGCAGCAAGGATGGCTGAAGACAGTTGAGGATGGATGAGTGGGTTGAGGACAACCCACAGGAGAGAAAATGAGGCAGCTAAGTGCCAATAAAGAGATGTACTGCAATAACAAACAATCCAGTGATATTATTTATATAGTGAAACCTAAGAGCGAGTTCATCTTGAAAGTGCCTGCGCTCTGGAACAATCACTTCAGATCCAAAAGTGGGGGTGGGGGGGAAATTAAGAGTAGTTGCAGAAGCCACTCTTATGGAGTGCCTTAGAGATAACTAGGTACTGAGCCAGTCGTAAGACAGGAAGATACTGGCCTACCAGCTCATGATTTCATTTTGACCGCAGCTAACATCAAGCATTTAGAAAGGAAACTGTAACAAATCTCATGGTAGAAATTAAAACTTGCAAGCACTAGAAGAGATGTCTTGCGATGACTTTCAGAGACTGTGATCGAGCACAGAAGAAATGGTATCAGGTGAGCACTGAGGGGAAAAAAAGGCAAAAAAAGCACAAATAATCAATTTCAGCCTAAATATTAGGAAAGAACAGTTGTAGTTTAAGAAAAATAACTAATTTCCCTCTGTGGCAAAAGAGCTTTACATTTTTACCTTATTTTCAAAAGCATATTATTGAGACAGCACAACTCAACATTTTCTTACATTACAGAGTAGCAGAGCTCTGTCTTCAGTAATATTACTAGATTTAGTCCAATTCATCATTGCTCAGATTAGTTTTCCTCATGTTCAAACACCCTTTGCAAACACGTTGCTGTAATCCATTACCCAATTTTACCCCATGTGAATCAGAATAAACCCTGGCTAGCAACCTGCAAACTTACTATTGTGCTTAAGACCATGATAGACCATTTATCCTGTTTGTCCTAAAAGGAGAGAGCTTCCATAAGTAACCTGCTGTTTCTGCAGTGGAATGGCCTTGGGGTTCTTCCAGGGACTCACGATACTCCTACCTGCTACATACAGCAGCCAAGATCTCTTTGGAGATCTCCAAATCTCTTTGGAGACCAGGATGATAAGAGACACAGAGCAGAAACAAAGAATGCCAATACACAGTCCCAGAAAATTGGAATTTGCTCTGTGGCTCAAAATAATACTTATTTTCCAAAATGTTCAACAAAGTAGCATAATCCCAAAGGAGAAGATTTCAAAAAGAACCATCAGAAATGTCACTGCTGCACAGAGAAGTAACTACACAGACATTCCACATGTAAATAATCCATGTCCACTAACATAAAACACTTATTTCCATTAGATGAGAAGCAGCAAAGTTTAAATGGATGACAAAGCAGACAACTAATTTTCCTGAGAAATGGTTATCAACCACTGAGTTTCAAGAGTGGAATATTTTAATGTAGACATGCTTTTATTTTATACCAAAACAGTAATTAAAAAAGGAGAATTCAAGAGGACACCAGCTAAGATTGATTTATGCTAATCTATGACAACATACCATTCAAAAATATCTATTACTGTGGTATTACCAAACATCTGCTTAATTTAGGTGTATGAGGGACTGATAGCACACAAGTTAATATGTCTTTCTTCTGTAATTTTATTTAGAAATAAACATCTGCAAGTGACTTTGCACAGAAAAACAGAAGGACCATGCATCACATTGTTCAGTATTTTTCTTAGTTCCAAATAACCTCTCCTGGTTAATTTAGTTCAAAAATAAAAAGAGAGAACGTTTACATCTACTTTACAATACTCCTTGCAGACTGTAGCATACACAAGTTGTAGTACTGCTGTTTACTGAACAAGCATTTACCTTCAGTTCTGCAAACCATATGATATTGTTACTGAATGCTGAAATCCACGAAATGAGCAGCAGAAATTTCAGTTACAAACTACTGGTTATTCTGTCCTGTAAAGGTGGTGTTCGCAAAGGCTGGAAGCACTGATGTGTCACAGTACTGAGATTACAATTGTATAAGTCAGAGGTAATTTCATATATCTATATATGTGTACATATATATGTACACACAGGCATATGTCATCATTTAAAAGCTACCATCCTCATCTCCTTACAGAGGACTTTTTTATGCCTCACCTAACGACTGTACGGGGCCCTTCAGATTCGTGCTCAAGACATTACCCATCTTTGATTTGGTCTTCCCTGAGTTCATTTCTTACTCAGACATGGACAGTAACAACCCTGAAAGTATCTATGCAACAGGGTTCCAGCAACAACCCTATCTTTGAAGGTATGTGCAGCTTATAGGAAGAAACAGAGAAGGTAGAAATTACAAACAGTAAAGTATGCTTAAGTACAATGGAACAAAAAGTTGTCAGCTTATCAGAACCAGAAAATGACATGCAAGCATTCTCATTGTGAACACTGATTTATCCTGTTTTGTCAGCATTAAAATCAGTCTAACAAGCAAAAACATGTAAACTTTGTTTTAAAATATTTGCTTGTCTGGTAAATTGTAACAAACTACAGGAAGTCTGATGACCATGAAACCGTTCACAAAGCAAGGAGGATTTTAAATGTACAGTTTTAAGTCTCAGTACATAATTAGCACCTACCTTCCCTTCTATAACTTTAAACTGACTACACTATAAATTCTGTGCATAATACCAGATTTCAAGTGACACCTTATTGCAGTCTCAGCACTGAATTTGGTGAAAATATTTTAAACTCATTTTGCAAAGTAACAATTTAAAACCAGAACTAATATTCAGAAGAACTTTATTACAGAGGCTTTTGTATTTCAAAACACTGAACAGTCAAATACAAAAATATAAATTTATAATCACTGCTGGGAAAATTTAACAGAAGAAAACATAAGCAATGATACAGAACGGGACTCAATTATTTATGACCTCAAATCATGTGCTTTTCAAACTAACTCTTGAATTTGAATTAAAAAAATAGATACAAAGAAAAAAAATCAGTGGGATAATCAGTTGTCAATGTAGATAACCAACATAAAGTTTTTCTGGAAAAAAAAAAGCAAAAGGGATACTCAAAAGTCTGTTTCCTCTTCCCCTACTGTTAAAGGCCATTCATGACTTTGTCTCCTTTCACGAGTGTTTTAAGACTGTTGTCTCTTACAGAATTTAGAACTCTTTTAAACAGTAATTACTAAATGCTGAAAGGAGAGCATACCTAATCATGCTTTCATCATACCTTAAGTTCACAGAAACATATTTGTTTTCTCCATCTGACTATCTTCCTCCATCTGACTGAAGTTAAGGAAACTTCCTGCATGTCATTGAAATACACGACAGCAAGCCCACTGCTTACCAAAAACATACATGAGAGAGGAGAAAGAAGGAAAGAAAGAAAGGAAGAAAGGCAGAAAAGAAAGAAAGGAAAAAAAAAAAAACGTATCCTCACCTGTCTAGAAACCAAGGATTTTTGGAGGATTCAGTTATTCTTACAAAGACAAAGCTTATTCTTTATGTACAGAAGTCACTACACAATAAAAAAGGATGAATACAGCGTACTGTGAACTCTGTGTGAATATTCCTAGCAAATAACATGCACAAAAGATTACTCAGAAGCAAGAAAGCTCTCAGTTTGTACTAGGAATGACCACAAAGGGAAGTGCAGCCAGTGAACAGAGTGAATAAATATCACCCTTACACTGCAGTAATTTCATCTCTAATGACAAGCCCCAAAAAAATTATTAAAAAAAGAAATAATATCGAAGAAAAAAAGAAAAATTATAGAGAAAGTATGATGATGCATTAAAAGGTGAAAAAAATCTACTGTCAATTTTTTTGGAAAAAAATCTTCTTCTAACCATGCCCATGTTAGTGATTTTCTAGAATATCGACTCAAATAAGCCTTTTTTGGGCTTTTGAAGATTCCTTGAAGGTTGAAGGTTCCTTTTTTGAAGGAAGCTTATCAAAGGGATATTGTCTTTCAAAGAAGATAGCTAACAAAGTGGAAACAAATGTTGGACCAAAGTTCTCTCAAAAAAGTGTCTTACTCTATTTATTTACTTAACATAACTTTGACATTCTCCTACTTGTCTGAATATGTGACGCTCTCACACTGAACACAGGAAAGTTCAAAAAGTACTTTTTAGAAACATTAAAAATATTTGGAAAGTTCTATTAAGAAAACAGCAAGACTAATTAATATTACATTGGTTTCTCTCAGTTTTCACTGTGTTGAGACTGTTTAAGTGCTAACTGTGCATTTAAACTGCCTGCTAAACCCATAGTGAACTTACATGCTCTGTTGTTTTAAACTTCATTTGAACTCAACTTTTTTTTGTTTGTTTATTTTAAAGTCAACTGCACACTGAATATCCTATTCTAAAGAATTGTCATTCAGTCAAAAACAGCCTGATGAAAACTTACAACATTTGTTATCACAAGGAAATTGAGAGAATTCCCTCTATTTTCCCAGTGTTAGCGGTTTTAAGAGCATCACCGGCAACTTCAAGATCTCGTTGCACCAGCCTCTTCCACATCTTTACGTCATAGGGGCACTGCTGCTACTGCTGGTTATAAAAGATGCTTTGGCAACCACATCTGAAAGAAAGTATTAAATAAATATTAAGTGTTCCTCAAACTGCAAAGGGAAACCACATACTGTAAACAATAAATTCTATCTTGATAACTTTTCCTCTACCAATATAGTAACACATGAAGTATCTTACTTACCTCTAGTTCAATCATGCTCAATCAGTTGAATTTTTTTCTCCCACAGGAATGCGATCCCAAAGCTGTAGCAATTGCTCTCCAACTTGTGGTTCCAGCTCCTAGAGGTGAACAGGATATTAGGGGAGTTATTTGAACTGCTACTACTATATAGTAGCCTATATAGAAATTACAGAAAAACAGATTTATTTGAAATTCTCATGCTCACTCTCGCGCTCACTCTTTCAGCTTGCTTTCTTGTAGTGTTTTTCAAAAAGCTCATTTGTATTTCTTCTTACATCTATTTATCTCTGAATTGGCTTACAGGTTGTTAGGGTCTTCTTCCTTTCAGGGTAATTTGTTGGAATAAAGTGTCTGACAAGTGTCTGACATCACGCTGCTATTTGTGCCCTTTTTTTGAAAAAGCAGCGAGGTCGCAGAAACTGCTGTAGAGAGCTCCTGCGTTAATTCTCTTCTTGCAGTTACTTCTGCCTTTAGCAGACTAGAGAATATGTCCTAAACTCTACCTCATATGGCATGATTCTCTATATATTTCAGAGGAAACTTATGTATGCATTTTTGAGCACTTATTTGAATGTGACAATATCAAACCTGAAAAGCTCCAGAAAGAAGCCTGCAATTCTGGAAAACTTAAGTTTTTGTTAACATATAAGTAAATGGCTGCTTTGATTTTACAAGACTCTATGATACTGACCAAAAACAGTGGTACTTTACTAAAGTTGTTCATAACTTAAAGCAAAAAAACAGCCATTATAGCTCCAAAGCACATGACACTACTCCAAAAAAAACAGTGGATGACTATACAAAAGGACTTTCTATATTTGATTTTAAATGCCTCAGTTACTATAGGCCTATTTCCATATGTATGCTCACTGTAACTAGAAAACCAGAAAGCTAGAAGAACAGGAGCTTTTGAATATGATTATACAATTTTGTTAATTATACAATTATATATCTTTACAAATTATATATCTTTATCCATATACAGCAATCAATTTCCATGGTTGGTAGGAAGTTTTATTTGCTTTGTGTACTATTCTGTATTATTCTCTTACAGTTAATTTATGCTGTACTTAAATATTTTTCCCAAGAAATTAATCTACTTGATTATAACATTTTAAAACTTATCTTTTGCAGTCAGTCAATGTAGCTTTTATCATTTAACCTATTGTTCCAAAGGCATGGTTGCATCAGAACTCCTACTGCTAAATATACATTTCCTTTTCCTGTTGGTAGTTCTACAGTCTCTATTTCCTCAGCAGTAAGGCACAAGCAGCAGCACACAAGGGGGTGTGTGTGTGTGTGCGCGCGTGTGTGTGTGTGTACAATGATTCAGATTAACATTTAAATGAGCAGAGGCGAGAAAAATGTCAAGTCCAAAGAAGCTAAATATGCGGTTCTCAATAAAGGAGACTTTATGAGGGAATAACATTACCTGTCCATCTCTGCTTATTTGTACTTTTTTATTGTCATTCCAAGGATTGAGCAAATGGTGTGCACACTGAAAAGGAAGATTTTCTTTTCGGATCCACTCCACCTTGAAAACACCTCCTAAACCTGCAGATCCCCAGTCTTGACTTTTCTCACGTCCTATCTCTGAAGACATTCTAGCAAAACCCTGGAAAAAAAAATGAAATATGAAAGGAAGGACATAGAGGACATCTGGTCACTCTGGAATCAAATAACTGGACTTCTTAACTTATGAATTAGTTGTAGTAATTTGCACATATTATCTTATTAAGCAAGATATTTAAATAATTTTCTAGATTTAAACATTTCAAGAAGTTCATCATTTTTCCCCCCTGGAAATACACATTTGAGGGTTTAACCACTGAGAATGTCCCTCAGATAAACTTTGACAATTATAATCATTTTTTAAATCCTTTGCAATAGAATCTTTCAAAATAGTAAGTACAGTAAAACCATTTGAAGCATAAATAATCAAGATTATATCCTATTCTTCTCATTGGTAGAGATCCCTTCCCTTCTTCCCCTACCCCCTCTCGTTTGACGACCTTTTACATGGTTTACAAGAGAATGTAGCTGTTCTTCCCAAAAAGAGATAAGTTAAAGGGGCTGTTTTCTTCTTCAAAGTGGGAAGAAATTCCAATAAGACAAATGTACAAGAAGGTGGGGCACTGGGGAGGTGAATGGGGAAGGGAATGATATACCACAAATCCAAAAGTGATTCTCATTCCTATTTAAGCAGAACTCCCCTGCTACAGGGGGAAGAAAAGGGTTCCGTGAAATAATCTTGCAAATCTGTTTCCATTGGACTCTCTGGTTACCAATATGATATATTACTAAGATATGCAATCCCTGACAATTCAGATTTCAAATGTAAATCAATGGAAGAAAAGAGATATAAAAAAGAAACATTATGGAAGATCATCTTAATAGAAGCGTAAGGCTCATATTCCCACAGATGCTCACTTTACTGATGAAATTGAAGGACATGGTAACATCAGCTACCTACACTCCTTACTTCAACAAACTAAAATATTTCACTTCCTCTTCTTTTTTTCCAATATTGCAATTAATTTGACCCACCTACCACTTTCTTATTACTGAGCAGAAAATCACAACTGACATGATGGCTTCAAAATATATATTTCTGTGTTTACCAAACCATTATATGTCCCTCCCATCACAATCTCTCAGTGATATCACCAAGACTGTTGCATTTGAACTAGTTCGTTTTGTTTTAGATTTAGCTGGCTTGTATGAATACATGTACATAACAAGACAAGTTTAACTTCGTTTACTAAGGACAACAGAGTTTAGCCTTCTCTACAGCACAGAGAGCACCTTCTCTACTCCACCAGGTTAAGCCCTTAATCTGAAATTGGTAAGCTTTTGTTGATGACTACCACACTAACAAAAACGTATTAAATACAAGATTTTAGTAAGTTGCGTTTTTTTTAAGCTGTTTATTTTTAAACAGGCCACAACGATCACACCTTCTGGCATGAACATCTGAAACTGGGAAATCTCTGAAAAGAATATAGCTGTGGATTTCTAGCCATCTAGCTTTCAGAAATCTGTTCAGGAAAAGCAGATGTTATTCAAATTTATTACAAAGAGACCTGGAAGTCTCTTAAATCTAGAAATCCTCTGTTTGATAATTCTTTATTATTTTAAATTTTACTTTTGGCATGCAAAAAAGAAGGATACTATGCTTTGTTTTTTTTAGGGAAAGAAAAAAGGGAGTATCCTAGGATCTAAAACATTACTGAAGAATCCTGGAGGTTGTTCAGTTCAATCTTAGTTCGAGTGGCAAGTTGTTAGCTAAAAAGGTCCATTTAAGATGAGAATGAACACTTTCTCCTTATCAATTAGATAACTTGCTTTCCTGCACTATTTTTCAGACAGATAGAAGCCATAAGCAAAAACCTACACATTATGCACAGTAACGTGTTGCATTCTTAAACCACCAGCTGAAGCTAACATTTAAAGGACTCACCTGGAAATGTCCAGATCCTTGGACAGAAAATATTAAGTACACCACGCTGCTCTCCCAAAAGGCTCTATTTAGCTTTCGCTCATTACTTGGCGTAGTAGACCATATACCTTTCTGCTGAGAAATATCAAGGTTTCGCAGGTTGCTACTTTTCATTATAAAATATCGAACTGGCATATTTGGTCTTGGTGAAGGAGATTTGGAGCCCTAGAAAAAAATAAATTAATACAAACCACATTAAAATAAAACAGGTTTTACTTCTAATGTTTAGGTTTAAAGTATTTTAATACATAAAGACAGCAATTCCTTGAGTGCCTTCTTCCCCAGAGGGGGAAAGAAAACCTGAGGAGTTACTGCCTTGCTCAGCTTTTAAAAGTATTTCAAATCTATTTTTCATTTCTAAAACACCTTTCAAAATAATCAGTTGTTTTGAAAATAGGATCACAAGCAAGCACAAAAGAGTAGCAGTCCAGCAATTAAATCTAGTTTGCCCAGTTTTATGTACCTTCAGGTGAGGAAAATTTAACTGCTCTAGACTATAGTCTAGAGTACCCTACTCACATTTCTCACCATCAGAAAACATTCAAGGTCTTCCCCTTTTAACTCTTTCAATATTTAAGTTATTATGAGGTAAGAGTATTTACTAAAATCTCCAAAGAGTGAGCGCCGAGAGGAACAATTTTGTTTTTTAGTATTCCGGGGTTTATTCTTCAAATAAACAGTATTTGAACTATGCAGTATATAGTATACGGTTCAAATATATCTTTTAAGTTCTAAAAAGAAACTGTATTGCACAGATTTTAAAATTAAAATCTATTTTAAGCTTTTATTTTATTAATATAAGACAATACATTGCAGAAAAAGATATTACCTAGTTTATTTCTGAAATACAATTAATATTAAAGAGCAAGATGATTTATGAGAACTCTACCTTTCCAGACAAGGGAGGAGAAGGACTGGCGCATGGGCTAGGGTAACTACTGCTGTCCGTAGACTTCACTGATGATTGATCTGATCTGTCATCTGAAGTTCTCTTGGAGTGCAAAATGCTTCTTTCTTTGTACTTCTGTGCCTGGTGAAATGCCGGAGGCGCAGACTTCATTAGAACCCTAAGAGATAAAGGTGAATTAAGGATAGTTTAACACACTAAGAGTTTAATAAGCAGTACAACTCAGAGCTAGATCTCAGCCTATCATATGACTACCTACATTAAAATTGTTGCAAACCATATTAAATAACTTAATTTAAAAAATACTTATTATACATTGTTTTTGAATGCTGGGTTATAACTCTTCTACTTCTATCAAGAGATGAAATTTCATGGACAACACATTTCTGACCGACTCTCACTCAAACATAAGAAATTTTTAGTGATGAAAACACAACTACAGCATGACAGCTGCATTTCTGCCAACTGTATTGTCATTCTTCTCTTATGAAACACATGCCATTACTACCCCTTTTTATTACTAGCTGAAATTCAAATGCTGCTTTTATATCTTCAAAAGTAACTGCTTATTATCTATCTCTAGAGGGCATGAAACAATTTACTTTTCAGCATTAGAAGTGTCGTCAGAGAATTCTGTTTCTGCTGAGCTTTTTCTGCTGTTACTTGACCTCCACGAAGACGCTAAAGGAAGTTCTTCAGAAGACATAGGTCTTGGTCTCTGCCCTATTCCTGATGGCTGCTGCAAACCTGCAGATTGCTCTTCAGTGCTTAGAACAGTTATAATTGCTCTTATAGTTGCTTCATCAACTTGAGACCATGGTTTAGAAGGAGCTCGCATACGACGCAGAAATAAGCTATGCCACTTCTGTCTGAGTTGCAACAGCAAGCCAGCAGCCTGTAAGGAATTTTAAATCTGTTAAAGATGAATCACAGTTAGATCAGCGAGATACAGGCCATCTATGTCTCTCTTGGACAGAGAGTATCTGGAATTCTAAAAATAACAGTGTCAAACTGATTGGCAAGACTAAAACTGGAGGGGTGAAGAGGGAAGGGCAGAATCTGAAAAAGGTGGTCATTTTAAGAAAACTTGTAAGAGTTACCCTTTCATCTCTAGGGTTATCTAGAACTCTTTTTAAACTCTTTTATTTCATTTATCTCTGCACCTGCAGGATTTATTACTGTTCACTTTAAAATGCTCTTCATTCACAGCTGAGGAAAACAAGATCAGTTGCAAACGACATCCTTCTCCTAAGGCAAACTTCAGCTCAAATTTAATGACTGAATTTAGAACACTACAGTCCAATTTCCATGCTATCAAAATATGCACTAGTTTTTCCAAGTCCCACATTTCATATATATATACACATTTCCATACTTCTAGAAAATACACTACTCAGTTGGAACTGAATGGTCTGAGGATTTCACAGTTAATTAATAACATCCCTTCCTAGCATTAACAACATCCCATCCCTAATCACCACAGTTTCTCAAGTTATGAAGACTTTTATTAATATATTTTTTCCCTGTCTTTCTTACCTTACCTCCAATTTTGAGTGCTTTATCTGAAGCTTGTTTTAACCATCCTTTTCTGAGGAGGAAATACAGTTTTCTCTCTAAAGAAAATTCTCTACTTCCTGATAATTTAAGAAATTCTTACAAATGTAAAAAAAGTAATAAATACATGATAAATACATAGATATATATTCTTTTTCAAAAAATAAGCATTGAACCGATACACTACTTACTTCAGGATCCAGTTTGAAATGGAGCCATTCATCCAGCTTCAGCACTGCCAGATTAGCAGTCGTTTTGTCCTCCATCTCACTATCACTACTGTCATTAGGTACACCATCCACTGGATGAAACAAATATAAAGGGTATACCGGCATTTCTACAGTGTCCCAAATTGCATATAAAATACTGAATATTATTGTATTGCCTGAAATATACCCATTTCCCTTCTAAATTTCCATTACAATCTCTTCACTACTTCTAAACACAGAGGCATTTTAATCTTTTTTTTTTATTTTGGTCAAAATATTTCATTTAGAAAGTTGTTAATCTGCTTTTACTTTAGTACATCTAAAATACTCAGACACACCAAGAATCATATTATGTAAACCTCTGCACTGTTGCAATTGACTCATTTTGTAGTTCCATCGATGAACTATTAGCACACAAATTTATGCCTAAATCTATCTGCAAATCCATATATTGATCTATATTTAATTTCCTAATAATGCAGATTAAAACCCATATAAAAGCAATACCTACTGCTATAAAGTCAGGTTCTCAGAAAAATTTTGTATCGTCACAGTATGAGTACTAATTAAACACTAAGACAAGGAAGCTTTAGTAATTTAATATAGGCTCTTTCTTTGATACTGAGATAGTATTTCTATCAAAAATGAAAAGAGGAGGCCATATATACACATATATCTTTTTTTCCCATTGATTTAATATGCCAGTCCATTTAAATAATACAATAGATTCCTTTATAGTCCAAATTACTTTCATGGTCTGGTATAACTGTCATTAAAAATTATTTAATTTGAACAATCTGTAAAATAAAGTGGTCTCTAGAAAAACTTTTCAACGTGTTTTAAGTTATTCTTAAGATACTTATACCTAGCATCAAACTAAGTAGTTCCAGAATAGGTACTGTAATGGGCCGATTATAGTTTTTCCTAATGTCCAACATAAGATCCTTCCAGCCAAAAGCATGCTTACCACGGCCATGAAGTTAAAAATAAACCTCACACTGGCCCTTCCCTTGTAGTGACTGCACAGACCAGACTCTGCCCTTGGTTACACCACTGAAGTTTTAGGTACAGTAAAAGAGGGAATGGAAAAGTGAGGGTAGGAAGACAGCATAAACAGAGCAATTGTCAGCCGCTGCTACAATTTAGGGAGAACTATCACAGTCATATCATCTCCTCTAAAGCATGCTACATAATCGTATCTAGGGAAAGAACAGTGGTCTGACATGCCAAATATGTAATCATTGTTCAAAAAGAATTAAATTGCTTATTACAGTTATGTTTAGGTCACCTAGTTAATCAGCAAGAACAAAATGTGTCCTAATTAGATTCTTCATGCCTCTAAGAAGGCAGCAGTGAACCTGACCCACACACAGTATTTCAAACTAGTTTCAGAGATTAAAAACAGATCTTCAAGTTAATTATTGAAGGATATGCAGCATTTAACTAGAACTGCCTTAGCCAGAAGTAATTTAGTATTAATTATAAATTCTATGATGACAAATTAATAGTCATATTATCTTATTCATTAAGTACAGAGCTGTCTTTCTCTTCAAAAAGAAAAGACCATGGTCATATTTTAACAATCTGTCTTAAAGTATTACAATATTCTTGTGAATCAGGCTTTGCTCAAGTAATAAAGATAATGATAAAGAGAAGAGCACTTGAAAAAAAAATCAGAGAAGATTATGATCACTGGTGAAATATAGGTACAACACAGGAACTATTGCTGTCCTGTCATGATCCAACAGCAACTACAAAGAAAAACAATTCCAATTGCTACAGGTCTACAGTAGACAATGACATCACTATCCCTGTCGTAAGTGTTTCATTATCTTCATATATGACAGAACATAGATGATACTATTGAAAAATTAAGCTACTCTTTTTTCATTATTTATCTTTTCAACAGTCAAAATTTATATTCAAAAGAATCAAGATGCTATACTGAAAACTATTTGTAAAATACTGAGTCATTTATTACATTGCCAAATAAGCTACTCAACAGCTACAAGAACTCTAGCGGTGTAGCTCTGCTATTTACCTCGTGTGTGTTTGTGTGTGTGTATACATATATATACACACACACACACACATATATATAGTATAATACAGAATAATTTAGTATCATTTAGTATAATATAGGCTATATATAAGCACATATATATGTAAAATATTCTCAAAAAAGTCTTTCCCCCTCACATACTACTACATATCAACAGATACATATATATCACACCTCGAAAAGACGACGGCTCCTGCAGAGCGTTACTTGGTAACCTAGCCGGTCCGCAGAAGAGTGACACAGTGACAGGTGTTACAACAGAACAGCATCGGATATTTGCTATCCTGTGAGCCCTTGTCATTTCATCATATATAAGCCAGTCTGTAGGGAGCGCCTGAATGGCTGCAGCTTGCCCATTTGCTGGAGGAATCTGTGCAAAAGCAATTAGGAGATTAGGCTGTTTTACCTTTTATTTGATATTAAAAGAGTGAGGGTCTGAATAAAATACCTCGAAACCAAATATTTTGCTTAAGAAAAAAAAAATGTAAACCCATTCTTTGTATCAGTAGAATCACTGTATCTTCAGAACAGTTTATTAACTTTACCATCTTCTCTTTTTCTACGTAAGTGGAAGACTTTCTGATGAAACAATACTGAAACAACACACTAACTCCAATTCTTTATTTCAGCAATTGAAGGATAAAATATTTTGTAAAAAGTGGTTTACATGTGCACATGGTGCTTTTAAAGTACTGACAATCTGAAGGGAAATTTTAAAGCTTTTTTAAGTTTGTTAGAAGACTCTGGTTTGTGTACTATAAATTTCAAAAGATTTTTACCTTTTTATATTGTGGTTGGCTAAGAACAGAAGTAGGATGAAACCGTACTTTCTTCTCCTTTGGTCCAGTCAAAATGAGGTTTTCCCTGTCTACATGCACTAGATTTGGGTACATCCCAGCCACTAAGGCGCCTTTAACTACAGCCCAGTTTTCAGAGTTGGTGTTAACATCTCTGATATCGCCGCCTCCTCTGGCTCTAACAAAACCTGAACAAGGAAGAGGACAAAGATGTGTTGAAGTGGGCTTCATACTTTTTCCCTTCTCAAAATTCTGTTAAGAAACAAAGTCAAGTCAAGTATGCAGTTTACTGCATTTTTCACATTGCCAACCTTACCACCTGGAAAAAAGCATCAGATTAAGATATACGCAGATAATGATTTTTACTCTCATAAAATAGCTACTTTTACAGCTTAACATCTCACACAGAAATAATTTACCAGGATGTAAGAATCCAGTAAAACTAATCTTGCACTATGAAATCTAGTGAAGCACGGAACAGAGTGCTTTCAGCAAGCTCATGTCTGACTGTCCCCCAGCAACATTTCTTCAGTTCAGAATCTGCACCCTGCTCACAATGATTGTGTATCAGTATTTCAGAAGAGAAGAACCAATACTAGTGAAAACTGTTAACATTCCTAGCAAGCTGAACTTCAAACCTATTCTAAGTTTATTTACGAGCTATTTACCTGAGGCTCTGAGCTGACCAAGCAACTGTGTTCTCATTCCTATGATGATTTCCATTGTGGCTTGAGAAAGAAAGTTCTTTTCACAGAAGGCTCTCTCCCAGCCGTCACTCCGCGCCTTCTGCCATGCCTGTAAATAATGCTTTTACATTTGACTATAAATTTGAGTATATTTTTATTATTTTTAAGTATAGCAAAAAATTAAGTAAAGCAAAAATTAAGTATAGAAAAATTTATGTCAATAAAGTGAACACAAAACCCATATCTGATATATACATACATGTTATATTGATCATATAAAAGTCATCTTTAATTGCATCTTTAAATTAACATAAAGGATCTCTTATTTTATAGCCTATCACACTATTACCTATAGCTAAAGATGGAATCATTTCGTAACATTCAGAGTTTAAGAAAAGATGCAAGTAATAAGGTAAAAATATAAATATTTTGAAAAAATGTTTGCTACAGAAAAATTATTAGTGAGTTCAATAAACAGAAAAGCCACTAAGCAAAAACCAAACCCATCTTCCTCTCTAAAGAATATACTATAAATCTAGCTATTCCATATCCAACTCTATAGACACACCAATTCATTTGATACAAAATCTATGGTGATTAGTACTCTTTCTGAAGATGACAATACCTGGAAAGCCCTGAGAAGTGCCATATGGTCACTAAATGTTCCTGCAGTAAAACGTTTTCTACACAGCATGGCTGCGCGCTTCTGAGATGCCTGTGTCGGTAGGACAAAAGGGTCTCGATAGGCAAGAGTGCAAGCGATGGTAAGAATAGGATCCAGGCACTTCAAAACAACAGCACACAACACCATTTTACCCAGGTGTGGCTCTACTGGTAAATCAGCCAGATGATAACCAAGTTCAGTGAGATCTTCCCAAGTATCCATAGCATCTATTGTCTGATTTAAAAAGAAAAAAAAATGGGAAAATGAGTTCACAGCTAAAGCTGAATATGGGACATTAACTAAATTAGTTGTCAAATACTAAGAACGCAAGTCAAGCTGTGTCAAATTTGAGACAGGACTTTCCAACAGTCTCTGTCCCCTAAAGGGACATGCCCTTTTTATCATGTCCACATGACAAAAATTAAAACAAAAGAAACCCAAAGCATCCCTGAGTAACTAAACAACAAAAGACTCCCCAACAGTAGGGAACATATTGACATAAGACATATTGACACACCACAAACAGAAGGCAATACAAATCCCATGTAATCTACTCCACTGCTGACCTTAAGCATTTGCACAGCATTTCTCACAATTAAAGCTGGTGGAGGATCTGGAGCCTTCATTAGAAAATCAGCAATTGGGCAATTAATTGGAGCCAGCAATTTTGTGTGCAAACAAAGTTCCTGTAAATTAGAAAACAGCTTATTAACACTCTGGAAAATGCAATATTCTGTACTTATTAATATGGTGTGGTCATATTACATAAGAAAAAGCATGATTTAAAACCAAACGTGTACCTGAAGTGGCATTCTTAGAAGTTCTGGCGTCTGAAATTCCAACATATTCTGAAACCGGAGCTTGCTGAAGAGACGGAAGCAAACTCCAGGCCGACAACGACCGGCCCTTGAAAATAAAATATTAATAGCTGTTGATAAGTACAAATACATTGTGAATTATTTGGTTTTATTTTATTTTACATTTTCTAAAAACAAGCAAACAAAAAAAGCCAATAAACTGTGATACCAAAGCAGGTCTAATGCAAAAAATAATTGTCATTAAACATAAATCCCACACACAAACTGAGATTTGATAACACCAGGATCTGAACACCAGATTTGATAAAAGAAAAATAGCTGATATTTAAACAGATGTTTAATGCTAATGTAAAGTCCACCCAAATTTCACTGTCCTTCATGTAAGAAATGTAAGCAATTAACTATATTTCTTCCTAATCCAGAATAGAATCCAAAACAGAAGGAAGTTATTCCAAGAATAAAAACCAGACAGCTTTAAAAGGGAAATGTCAGAGACCGCAAATGTTCATATGCACACCCAAATTCCTGCAGGTTAATATTGATACTATATTCCCAAATTTTGTTACTGTATATATTCTCTTACCCCCTAATGCTGGTAAGAATAAGGCCTATAAGGTCATGAACAGTTTGTAGACGTGTGAATAAAGACTGTTCAATATTTCTTGTAATATAGGGATAAAGAGGCATTAAAAACTAGCAAAACACAGTTCTTTGTTCACAGAGAGAGAACCTGTGTGACACTCTCTAATTAAATACTGTATTTGCTACACATGCAGAAGAGGAAAATGTTCATTTAAATGTTCATTTAAAAAAAAATCAAGGTAACAGGTCCAAATGGAGGGGAAAGATTTGGAAAATCCTTGAGACAATGTTCTAGGACTTGAGAAATTCTGATAAAGTATATGCTGACCCTATCTTCTAGCTCCCCCCAAATAACTAAGAGCAACTAAGATGATTAAGGGAATGGAACATCTCTCATCTGAGGAGAGACTGAGTGAACTGGGCCTGTTTCTCTGGAGAAGAGAAGGCTGAGAGGGGATATGATTTACGTGTATGAATGCAGGGAGGAAGGGGACAAGTTGTTTTCACTGGTGGCCAGCGATAGGACAAGGGGAAATGGCCACAAGCTGGAACACAGGAAGTTCCATCCCCAGGTGGGGAGGAACTTCTTTCTTGTGAGGGTGACAGAGCCGTGGAACAGGCTGCCCAGGGAGGCTGTGGAGTCTCCTTCTCCGGAGTTCTTCCAAACCCACCTGGATGCCGCCCTGTGCCACATGCTCTAGGTGTGCCTGCTTGATCAGGAAGGTTGGACTAGATGATCTGTAGAGGTCCCTTCCAACCTTGAATATTCTGTGATTCTGTGAAATAACTATTATTGCCTATTGCTAGACAGGAAATAGATGTAATCCAGTGTGGCATTTCCTACTTTCTAGACTTTATTTAAAAAAACATATAAGATACTAGAAATTTGCAAAATAAATTCAATATGAACCATTTATTACCTGCCTTTTCTCTGGACAGCACTGGCTTTTGAAATCCACACCATTTTTAACATGGTGACACAATTCAGTGCATCAAAAGACTTCTGTAACAGAAAAGAACACAAAAATACAGTTTTATAAGGTATATGAAATGAAGTACTAATAATTAGCTCATCAAAACAAGTTCTTTAAAACTAACAGCAGCAGCTTCTGATAAAGAATATGTCTTAAAGGAGTTCCGTTTCAAATATATATTTATGTTCTCCTCTTTGCAGTATGTTTGCACTACAGTTTTCTAAATCATAGGTTTACCAGTCTAAAAGAGGTCTAAACAACAATCTACAGAATCCTTTCCAGGGTTTTAAGAGCTGCTTGCTATCAGTATTTGTCAGATGTCAAAACTGCTCATTATACTTTGTTACTTGACATGGATTTCCAACAGGTACTAACCACTAATTCCAGTAAATCAAAAAAATCCTCAAAAGTTTATGTTGTTGCATTAGTATTGTAAAATAATATTAATTAAAAGGAAATTTAGGCCATCCATACCTCTTTCATCTTTCCTGAATCAATAACAAATACAACATCATTGACTGTGATGCTGGTTTCGGCAATATTAGTAGAAAGAATCTGTAATTAAAAAAAAATAGTAATTGTAGAAACAAGAGTCCGTGCAAATTATATAATATCACAAAAAGTCATATGATACTTGCTATTTTGCGGATGCCAGAAGGTGGACTTTTAAGCACCTTCTTCTGATCTGAAGTCTGCATATTTGAATGAAGCATGAAAACTTGGTATCTAATGCAAGACAGAAAACATTTTTTTTTAAAGCATTTGTTTTAAAGAGTAAAAACTCCAATCAACAGTATAAATCAGGTTTTCTACCTGTGAGCATTATCAGCGAATCTTTTGTCATCAAAAAGAATGCGGTCTCGCAGGCTAACTATTTCATCATATCCTGGAAGAAATATTAAAATCGCTCCTAAGAGAGGGGAAAAAAAAAAAGACGTTTGTATACAAAGTTAATTAAACTCACTTTGAGTATACAAAATATACTTAAGAACAATGTTACAGCAAGCAAAAGATTTTACCCTTTCATTATTATTAAACAGAGAGCACAATTTATCAGCAAAAGTTAAGTTTACAGCAATTTATTAGAAATGTGTATATTGACTTACCAGCATCACAACTATGACAGATATTGTAAAGTAAGTGCATAATCAGATCCAGATCCACTTTTTCATCATCAAAACTGTGATGATATGCTTTCAACAATTCTCTGTCCTCTGCACTGAGGTCACTACCACTTGTTTGGACCAGGGAACTTTCATCCAGATTTCCAAACTCCAGTGAAGCACTAAGATATATAAACATACAGGCCTATTCAGATCATGACTGGTATGACTGAATTTAATAAGAAATATTTAAAACATAGCAGCACAGCATCTCCACAACACTAGTACAGCTCAGTGACTTAATTCAGTAAATTATTCAACTCGAATGGTTAGTATTAACTTTAATCACCTTATACTTCCTTGAAATATAACACTAAGCAACCCTGCAAGAACCAAAAGTATGAATTACATTTGTTTTATTGCTTAAAGGGATACTCCTAAAAATCAACACCTATTTTCTAATTATTCTCCTACCATGGAAGTCTAAGCAGGTACCTTATTAAAAAGAACTACACTACAAGAAAGACAGTGCTACCACTTAATTGAGCTATCAAAAAACAATTCTTCAATGTTTTAATGGATGTCTTGCTCATCTCTGTTTCTTTTGGTATAGCTACATCACGTATTGACAATACAGAAATACACACCCGAAACAAAACAATACCCTACTACAGAACACAAATACACTCCAGTTTAATTTCAGAGTCTTAATCTGAGAACACGGTTGCTCGAACTTTCATTCCAAAATGGCTATTATTATTACACAGATAGCTGTGTAATTAGCTGTGTAATGCCATCTTGCCTACATGTGCACATTCCTATCAGGGAAGAAGATAAACATAATTGACATAAAAGATGTCCTAAGCATTAGAACTACAATCTAGAACTAGCTCTGTATTGCAGTTCTAACTTGTGCTTATATACATATACAGCTACAATCTACGCCACAATCACTATGCTTATAATCACTATGATACTGAATATAAAAAACCGTTGAGTAGTAACAGTGCATTTTCAAAATGTTTCTATATTCATGAATCTAGCTATTTAAACCAGATTTCAAGACCCACCAAACCAACAAACTGTTTTGATTAATAGAACACATAGCAAAACAGAAACTGACATTCTACATGTTATTCCTGTAGACTAATTATTGCTTACCTGTAGGATTCCAGAAGGTCAATAACCTCCGTCTGTCCAAAGTGCTTAGCCCAATCCAAAGCCATCCTAAAGGAGTTACACAGTGATCCTTATTATTTCTCTCTTCCAAATACTACATTATGCCAGCAGGCAACTGATACAGAACACTTTTTCCTATCAATTTCTGCATTGTGATTTTAGCAGTACACTCACTGCTGAACCTGAAAGATCCTATCTGCATATGCATAAACAAGTGTAATAAGTAGCTTCATGATTTTCAGGCATATAAACCCTCTAGCAAGTAAGAATACCCTTTGTATACAGAAATACCTGCAGTGTGCAGGCAGAAACAGTAAGGAATAAAAAACCATCAATTCCTTAAAAAGAAAACACACATCAACGTGCAGAAATCAGTCATGCCTTTTGCAGTACCCTTTCACTAGCACCCAGAAGTCATCCTGAATAGTCACATCCCAGAAGTTTTCTACAGTAATGTGTATTTTGTTCCTCTCTATGTCTGCATTCCTTTCCAATTTTTTTTTTTTTTTTAAACCATATTACCATATGTCAGAACTCTGGAATCCTAAGTCTTTCCATATTATCACAATTTACAGTAAATTACATCTTGCTTTTCAAAAGAAATAATCAACGGTCAGAAATATCTGATGTAGAGTTTTTTTTAAAATGACAAAACACATTTATGATTATACTATTGCAAAGGACTTTGCAACTGTAATATTATTTTTTTCGGTCCTGTTGAAGTTATTCTCTTATAGTAAAAGTGACCTACTATTTCAGTTCTATTTCAATTAATGCAGAAAGACTATCATTTATTTCCCAGTGTGTAAATGGGATTCATTGAAAATAAAAATTTATATTCAAGACTGTTTAATTAAGATTTTCATTGAGATCAGAGGAAAAAAAATGATGAAACAAAATATATAAATTGCCTAGCCTATCAAAATGTATTACCACTTACTGTATTTGGATAAATTGATAAATTAATTCATTCAGAAAACAAAATAGAAATCTTTTATTTATATATAAAAGAATATATATTCTTTTTAGCTTAGTCTTTTTTTTTTTTTTTTTTTTTACCAGCCATTGGACGATTTGCAGTGGATATTTGCTCCCATACTGATCAGTTGCTCTACTTGACTCAAAAAGCCCCTTCCTGAAGCAATCATTAGTGTGGTCGCACTGGTTTCACTGTGCCTATAGTCAACTGACAGGTTCAAAGGAAACAGAAGGAAACAAAGGAAACAGAAGGAAACAAACACACACAAAAATAAAAATATAAAAAAAAACCACACACACAAGTGTTATAATTTAAGCTAGCCAAGGTAGAATTTCTTTACTCCATCCCACAATCAGTTTTTAAAATTTTAACACTATGTTAAAAGCACACTATAACACAATTGTCTATGTTTCAGAACAATTCTGATAATGAATAACTACACAATTCTCTAATCCAAATCAGCCTGTACAAGTAATTATTCCAGCTAGCATTAATATGCAAAAGCAACACAAAATCTGAAATTGGAGACAGACTTGAATTTCTGAGGTTTCTTTGGCTATTTTCCTTCCTACTGTAGAAAAAATAAACAGAGGGGACCTACCACTGACATTTTCAGTTAAAATGAGATGAAACACCTGAGCAAAGGCATCAACATCTTTATGCAACCAGATGTCAGAAAGACAAGAGTCCATTTCTTTTATTAGCCATGGTTCAAGACAATTTACATCTTTTTCAGTCTGAAGGGAAAAAACAGCATTGAAAGACAAATCTTTTTTTGAAAGCTCTCGTCTCTTTTCATATCATATTCAGGTACTCACAACAATAACTGTTATCAACTTTTACGTACAACTGTTGTCATCATCTTATAAACCCTACCTGTCTATATTCTGGAACAATTAAACTAATTAGAAAAAAGAAAAGAAACTACTCTTTCACAATCTGTTAATACTGAGAAACTCAATGAGAGTAATGCTGCTATAAACCACTGTTAAGTTACTACTAACATAACGACAATAATTTTTTTCCAACAAAAGGAAATGCTTACCAGTTGATTGAATACTGTGTCACCACCATCATCTAACAGATCATACTCTTCAGCCACACTTGGGACAGGTCTTTGCCTTTGAGATTCAGGTTTGCTATTATTTTCTTGTGCCGAATACCACTCAGTAAGAGTGTTTTGCTGTTTTTCTTCTAAAACACATATTTCCAGAAAAAAAAAGTTAAGTGATTTTAATCATCCATTGCTTTCGATTACAAAAGAAGTTAGGACTAAGCCAAAAGGTTTCATGTATTAAAACTTCAATCCAGAACGGACTAATATAAACTTTCAGTGCCTAAAGGTTCCCACACTCTATCACTGCAGAGCTCTGCTGTAAGAACAAGGCAAATACATATCATTTTGGCACTAAAATCTCCCAACTCTACAGCACAGTTACAACACAGTTTGGTCCATTTAAAAAGACTTTCCTAAGTAAACAGGGAACAGAATTCCCAGATCTTATACCAGAAGTGAAAAAACAAAAGAGAAATGAAATAGGTCCTGCATGTACAACTAATTTCCAAACAACAAGGGTAAGACAGAATGTAAGTAAGACAGAAAACAAGTAAGACAGAATGTTTTAGCTGAACTTTTCCATCCACTGCAATCGAAGCAAAGCAGCGTCACAACTGTGCATTTAGGACTGTATGCTATATATACAGGGATCAATTCGCAATAGCTCTTAATTTAAAAAACAATGCTTAGCTGTAAATTACAAATACTTTTTTTTCCTTTGAAATAATAAATATACTTAATCAACCTGAAGACAACTTTTTTTCTCCTTTTGGTAGACTATAGTCCACAGTCTTTGTACGACTATAGATTCATGTTTCTATACACATTAATGTCTGAGAAACACAGTGAAAAATGTTGCCACTAGGAACCACTTCTGTGTAATATGTTAAAAAAAAAATCCTGCCTCAATAACAGCTGCAGTTGAATTTGCATCCAAACATCAACATTTAATAGTTTCCTCCTCTATGTTTTTCATGTGGCCAAAATACAAAATTATATTCCATAGTTTTCAATAACTAGGAAAAATATTTATCAAATAGCAGCAAAAATAGGCAAATATCAAAATGAAGTGAAAAATATATATTTTTTAACCTAAACTACTTCAGTAAGGCAAACACTGAGACCACAAATGCTTGCTTCCACCTAATCTCATCTCAGATAGCTTTCTGTCTTTGGAATTTTACACACAGAATCATCATATTAAATTCTTTAAAAAGTCAGCAAGCCTCATTACCTATCCTCTCACCTCCCCAGCCTCAAAAAGTTTACCAACCTCGCTGTTTTTCCTTTTTGTACTTAACCATCTCTTTATTTGTATAGCCAGTGCTTTGTAAAATGTCCTCCAGAAACATCTCTTTAACTTCAAAAGGTCTTCCTTGTACTGAAAATAAATGATGCACATAGTATTAGATGTTGCCTGAGTTGAATGTTCATCTTAATAAAAAATGAAATTTTGTGGAAATGAGAAATAAAAGCGGTCTAGTTTAAGGAATAGCTATTATTTTCCTTGAAAAATCTTGTAAAAGCATTTTCATATGGCATTTCTCTGAAGCTTACTGGACAGCAAAACCAATTAACATTTAAAAGGGTAAATAGCAGCCCAGTACACTGACTTCTGCTAACTTCTTGAATTCCACTGAAGTACCATGGGTAAAGACACATATCATCCAGAGTGATATTCTGCTATACTATAAAAAAATATCAATTTTTGTTTAGGCTAAAGGATAAGAATACACACTTAGCTTCCACAGTACAAACAGCACTTATATATAAAATACAGCTTCTGTGCAAGATATAACAAAAACATTTTTTATAAAAATATTTTCTTTCAAGAGAAGTATAAAAAGAAATGCTAATAATATAACATAATACACCCTAAGAAATAAGCCATTCCAAATAGCCTTCAATTTACCCCGATTTCTTTTCCCATATTGATTGTTTGTAGAGCTCCTTTAAGAGCTCTACAAAGACTTAAGAGCTGATATAAATACTTACTGTGTATTATTGGACAACTCCCAAAATATCTAATAAAAAGATTTGCATCTAAAGCAGCACTGGAAAGAATTAGCTTTAATCCAGTCTGTTTTTGCAACACATCTCTCAGTTTTATTAACAAGAAGTCACTGAATCTATCTCTCTCATGTACTTCATCCTATAAGAGAAAAAAAAATCAGATACAGGATTACAACTTCTCAGAAATACAAACTTCTTAATGTACATGTATTTTGTTCTTCTTACATGTATTTTGTTGGTATACTACATATGTACCACTTTAAAAAGTATATATCACTGAATTTAAATCAAGATTGTTTTTTAATATCCAGAAGTCAAACTGTTTCAAAAAGTATCAAAAGCTGATCAGAGCAGGCTGTACCGCTAAGGTACTACCAAGATATAGCTTGATTTCTGAAGCTGAAGAGACTTCTGTAATCTAAACTTATATTAGAAGGCATCTCATTTCCACGAGACTGACAAAAACTGCCATTTTTTTAAAATGAACATTCACTTTAGCACTCTTGGGCATTTAGAGAAACACAAGCTACCCCACAATCACAGAAAAAGTAGGATTCCTTACATACATTATCACATGCAAGCTTACCCCTCACGAGTCATAACTGATGTTATCAGCTTTGCTGCTGCAGTCTTATTCTGTTTTACATCATGAATGTACAGAGTATAGACTTAAATACAAGGTTTTAGACTGAATGTATATTTCATGCATTCTTCTCCATTTCATTTTGGTACTTAAGGAACTAAGATCATGCAGTCTTCAGCAGCAGAGATCTTAATATTGGCAAGGTAATAAACTGTTTCCATAAACTGTTTCCATTCTCAGACTTCATAGTGGGAGTCTTCACATAGCAAACTAATACCTTCAAGTAATTTCCTGAAAATAGATTACCTACTGTCTTGAAGACATTTGTGCAAACATTGACTTCAAAATTAAGGTACAGGATCTGTAAGATTCTGATACACTCACATTGAACAGTATCTACAAAGTTCTCCCTAATATTCTTCTACTGAAAGAGCAAGCAACTTACGGTACTATTCTCCCCAACTGCATCATGATACTCCAAAAATCAATCATCACAACCTTAAGGAAGCCAATAAAATAGTTATCTTATAACAAAGGAAAAGAGAGAAAAAAAGAACTGTACCTTATAAGATACATCAGATAAATACAAAAACAAACAGATAAATCTTTTATTCTATTTCTACCTAAACAAAAATAGTTTTTATTATTTTGTTGCATTTAAAATATCTAGGATGTAAGCTGTTACACTTAGCAATATGCAGCTGCTCCCCTTCATATGAAAGAAGGGTTTCTTACCACAATAACATGTGTCACTGTTGACAGAGTGCTATCTCCTGCCATTAGTGTGCGTAGTAATACACCATTAGTGCAAAACGTTAACAATGTCTTTGGAGAAACCCTATGAAAAAATTCAAAAAAATATTTTAGTCTTCTGTACCATTTAACTGTATAATGTCAATACATGCTATTGCGTGCTCTATTTATTAAAGTTTAAGGGGTTTGATAGCTGCTCACCAAAAGGGGGATTAAACTTTTTTTTTTTTTTTTTTTGGAAATCAAAGAATTCAGGCTCACTATGTGTTTTTTAAAAGATTCCTGCTCTGGGAGTTCCTGAAGAATCTTAGGACTTACGTTTCAAAATCCAATTGATTTCATTAACAGAGTCAGATTCACACTAGGGAAAAAGCCTGAAGAGACTGCTTTGCAGAAATATTTGCATATGCCTAAAATTGACTGGAGAACAGAAAGTATTTTCTGTTTTTTGTGGAAAATGTTTTTTCCACACTGCTCCTAGTAGCCCATCCACTTTCATCTGATAATTACTGGTGCTTCTTCAGGTATCATAGTATTTTCACACATGAATCGCATTGTGATTCAAATGTGGCCACTATTTCAGTGGTATCCAGCGATAGGACTAGAGGAAACAGCCACAAACTGAAGCACCAAAAGTTCCACAGGAATTTAAGGAAAAAATTCTTAGTGAGGGTGATAGAGCCCTGGAACAGGCTGCCAATAGAGGTTGTGGAGTCTCCTTCTTCGGAGATGTTTAAAACCCGCTTGGACGCAGCCCTGTGCCCCGTGCTCTAGGTGACCCTGCATGAGCAGGGGGGTTGGACTAGATGACCTCTAGAGGTCCCTTCCAACCTTAAGCATTCTATGATTTGTAATTCATCTTTAGTATCTCTCTGAATTCCTTCTAGGCTTATGAGCTTTTGTGGATTCTTCCATAACTCGTCTCAATTGTTCCACTGAGTTTTTCTTCTCTAACTTCTTACTCTCTTCATCCACACAGACATCACAACCAGTCACATTGTTTATTATCTTCTCACTCATCTCCACACCACTATCCATTCTTGAAAACCTCATCAACTACACAGCTCAATGAATCCTGAAATGTCACTCAATTTCAGACTTTCAGCCATTCCTATTCTGCTTTAGGAAAATATTGCAGAATATTAGGAAAATATTCCTAACGTGATCTAGAAATCTGTTTTTGTATAACTTGATGCTTTAAAAACAAAAAGAAAGCTGAAGAATAAAATAAATTAAAATCAAATTACATAGTTGCATTCAACTTTACTGCTCACTTCCAAAGTTTGGTTTTTTTTTTTCTCCTTGTAATTATCCTATTAATTATCACAATACAACTTTTCTTAGAGCATCCTGATCCTCTTACCTACATTCTTGTAGAATGACAACCTATGCATCGCGAAAGAGGAAAAAAAAAGGGCGGAAAAGGAGGAAAAAGCAGGTTTGATTTGCAAGTAATACAGAACATGCCTTCCAACACCACCAAAAGGCAAACTGAGTGAATATTCCTGCAATTCACTTATGTAAGAATCTACTACATCAAACTGCAAGCTTACAAGAATGAAACTGTTTCATACCTTAAAATATTCCATTACATGAAATTACATACATTCCATGATATAACATATTCTATACTTTACAAACAAGGATGAATTTTGTTCCTTTGAGCCTTTTCTAGGCTCCCCAAAATACTGTACTTGAAAATGCTTATGAGACACCTACACAAGACAACTGACGAAAAAATATCATTATTACCTGCTTTCCAATCGGATCTGATAACCAATTGTCTGGCCAATCTTTTCTCTTCTTTCTGCTGCCACTCTTTCAGCCACAGCAATAGCTGCTAAGCGTCTAGGTTGAGTGCAAAATATACGACAGGGAATTCCATTCTTGTAGCAGTCATCAAGAAGGAACTGAGGAATCTATTAAAAAAATCTGGATTTATTTTTTTCAGTGTAATACAGCTACAGGCTATATTATTCTATTCTACCATAAATAGGTAGAATATTACACAGGTTGCAAAAGATTCACAGTGAGTTACAGTGCTAAGCATACTTGAAGGAACAAAAAGTAAAATTAAGTTTCTAATGTTAAGAATTACTACCCTCAGAAAAAAGAGGTTAAAGCTCTTTCCTCTTCTTTCAAAGAGATCTTTACAAAAATACATTGCAAAAGGAACTGGAAGACCTAAACAAAATGATATATTCATTTAATTATTTTAAATAATTTTTGATGGAAAACTGTATCATAAAATTGTGCAAAATAACTTTTTAAATAAGTATCAGCCGGCTAAAGAATTCAAAGAGTTACAAAGAAAGTGAGTTCTATTAAAATTCAAGATTTTCTAACCTAGGGCAAATAAATAAATTCTCTATTACAGAAATTGTATTTCTTTTGAATATAAAGTTTTATTGTTTTTAATTTCATTATAGTAACATACTTGAGTAGTCTTTCCTGATCCAGTCTCTCCTACAATCAAAACAACTCTATTTTCCTTAATTATTTTGACAATTTCTTCCTGTTTTTCAAAAACTGGTAGCGATTGCCTGAAGGAATCAAACTCTGATTCCCCTCTTTTCACTGGAACCTGAGGGATACCGTTGTTAAGTCGCCCACTGGTCTTGCTCATTTCTCTGTTTTCTGAAATGAGAAGTTAACAATGCATGTGAAAAGACAGGGAAAAAAAGTCACTATTGCTAAATAATCTGTAAGAAATGACATTCTTGATTTCATAGGCATCGCTATAAACAAACTGATGCATCCAGCATATATTTAAAACACATAATCACTGCAAGGTATCCTGTTACTGTCCTCGGAATGAGTATTTTTCAAATGAGTTATTACTTCAGAGCTATTCTGAGAAAAAGATTTTTTTCAAGACATTCCTCAGGAATTCAAAAACATTTATTATGTACCAAAAGCTAAAACAAACAAAACCTGAAAAAAGCAGCCTGGTATGTTTCCTTCACCTTCATATCACTTTTACAAATCCACACTTCCACTGTTTGCACAGGGACAGTCCATAGTTAAAAAAAATGCACTTTAATTTATTCCAAAATGACAATATGTCTTCTCAGAAAAAAAATACTGTAATTTATATTTCTCCTTTCATATTCTCTCTTATCTTCATTACCTCCTTTTGGTCTATATTATATATTCTGATGCTGTGGTCAAATGATTTATTTTAAATAATGCATACAAATTCTGCAGAAACTATAGCCCTAGACCCAAAGTGAGCACCATCACATACTAGAAATTAATTTGTAAGTGTTCAAAAAATGTGTAAACCTTCATAAATTGAGACTATTTCAGTGTTAGTACATACTATCCTAAAATTAAATTCAATCATACATAAAGTAATTAACAGCTTAAAATTACAAGAAGCATTGTCTTGCCAAAAAAAAAGATGTAAAACAACAGGTTAACAGCACCAAAAATATAGGAGAATTAAAAGGATTAAATTTACATTTTTTATTAGTTTACACCTTCCCTTTACAAATAGCTGCTGTTAAGTACTTTTATTATCTTTTCCCCCAATTCATTAAACAATCTGTTAACCTATTAATGTATTACCCATTACAAATTAATAAAAGTATGATCCATCAGAAAATTGATGGATCTCAATGAAACAAAGCTTACTGATGGAAGTATTTTCTGTACACTACAACTAGGTTTGTACACAAGCCCAGAATGTAGCTCTTCCACACAGAGCCGCTATAGCACAAAAATACTGTGAACAATCATTCTGTGTTAATAAAACAAAGTAACAACAACAAAAAACACTGATATATCAAAAGTATATCTTCCAATAAAACCTTTCATATTCTACTGTGAGTAGTAGAATTCAAACTGATTTCCTAATAAAAGTGATCTAACACAGGAGTCCTGAGAGGTTCTCTCTCCACTTCCATCTCAGAACGTGTAGGAATTAATGTCTAAGAAATGTACTTTTCCAGCCAAATTTGTTTGCAACTGGTCAAAAGATTCAGAAGTAAATCGGTAGAAAAGGACACTATCAGATTGTGGATGACATGACTGCTTCAATTACACTCCCCAGGAAAACTGGTTTACAAAATCTTTTTCTAAAAGTTAAAGGCCAACTGAATAAGCTATTTGGTTTGGGGCACTTTTTCATTCGGCATAAGAAAGGAAACAGAAAGAAGAGCTTTGTTTTTCTTTTTTTGGGTTTTTTTTTTTGATTTTTAGACAGTGTTGATTTGCAAGTCCATATCTGAACATACCTGCTTCAACAGCAAAAGCATTTCCTCGCTCAGTCTTTGGTAGAAGTTCTGTCCGTTCTTTATTTGTGACGGGAAATCTCTGAATTAAGTTCCGCACAGCGTGTTTTGTATTAGGAGTCAAACAGCAAGACATTACTGCATGTGCGAGCTCTGAACCATCTTTTTTCCTTACAGTCAGGTATCTATTTGCTCCTTTCCTGAGAGAAAAAAAAGTCACAAATAATGAATAAGTAAGCTATTTACCTCTTTGTAATGATATGTGACAAAAATTCTTGGCTACTTTCACCTTATTTTCAAATAAAAAGCCTATCTAGAAACTTCCAAGCACAACGCACTAAAACACTTACAAAAATCACATACTACTAACATGAAATACGGCAGTAAAAAAAAACTGGTGACTTCTGGCATCTAAACCCAAGTATAGCTTTACAGTCAGGCTTCCATTGTGCAACTGTCCTTGTTTTTAAAGGGCTATCATTGCGTTTGTTTCCCAAAAGACAGTAGAAACCTCCATCACTCAGTGCATTAATCAATAGTGACACAATGCACAATGATCTTGAGACAAATTTAAGAGAGTTGGAGGTTATTGCTTGTTTTAAAACTGAACTCCATTATTGAATTGCAAAGAATTGTTGAAAATCTGCCTTAGACCTAACCATTTTGTGCCTGGACTAAAATAATCTATCAGTACAGCTTGAACATGACTTGCTACGATTACAGCATAAGACCACACGAAAAGTAAAATACCCTGCCTTGTCAGGGGATAAGAAGATACACAGGTTGTAACGCACTGCACGCAGCTGTTTTCTAAATAATTGCTTTGCGTCTATCTCCTTGCGAATACAAGAGTTAATTTCAGAATTATAAAAATATCTAAGTCAAAACAGTGATCAGAAAAGCACATCTAGTTGTCAGAAGTTAAAAAGAAAAAAAAAAAAAAAAACCACAAACCCAAAATATTTCCTCAATGCTCCTATCCTTCAGTAGTTTGCCTTTCAGCAGCTTCTGGCATACAACTTTATCTGCACTAATTCAATGTTGAAATAAAAACATACTAACCATGACGACTTTACAGTAAGTTTTCTGTAAGTATTTAATACATGCTTGGTCAACTCATACTTTATCAAAAAAACAAGAGTTTATGTTATTTATTCACTCTGTATAACAAATAAAGGTACAATAATAAATGCTAAGATTACAAATGTACTGTCAAGAGACACAACAATGAAAATCATGATCAAGTTTTTAAGACATGCTGGTGATCATTTCAAATGTTATTTCAAGATGGTTATTTAAGAAATTTGGAAGGACTAAAGCCAAGTAGAATACATTGAAGTTTAAAGAAACAAACTTCCTTTGATGTGCAATGCTCTATTACAACAACAACAAAAAAAACGAAGTCTGAACATTCTCTTTTTCTGACCCACTTAAATATCTGTTCAACTGTTTTCCAGGATTCTTGTCATCCTGAACACTCTGGGTAACAGAAAAATCTGTAAACAAAGTGCCACCAAACCTACTAGGAAGCTGCTTACTCAAGCAAGACACTTAACTGGCTCTACAGACAAAAACGATTCAAATAGACTTCAACACCTCTATTTTAGCACTAGTACCACACAACCCAGGAATATTTCAGCTGACCACATAGGTGTTTCTAATATTGCTTTCCAAAACTCCTCATTCCTAAAATATGATACAAAGATACAAAAGTCCAGTGAAACTTAGGGGCTCAGGAATTCATGCAAAAATCATGCAAAAATTAAGTGCTCCCTCAGCAAGTTTGCTCACGATACCAAACTGGGTGGAGTAGCTGATAGCCCTGAGGGCTGTGCTGCCATCCAGAGGGACCTGGACAGACTGGAGGACTGGGCGGTGAGAAACCTCATGAGGTTCAACAGGGGCAAGTGCAGGGTCCTGCACCTGGGGAGGAATAACCCTGGACACCAGTACAGATTAGGGGTGGACCTGCTGGAGAGCAGCCCTGCAGAGAGGGCCCTGGGTGTCATGGTGGACGACAAGTTGACCATGAGGCAGCAGTGTGTCCTGGTGGCCAAGAAGGCCAACGGGATCCTGGGGTGCATTAAGAAAAGCGTCTCCAGCAGGTCTAGGGAGGTGATCGTCCCCTCTTCTCAGCCCTGGTGAGGCCACATCTGGAGACTGTGTCCAATTCTGGGCTCCCCAGTACAAGAGCTGTGGAGCTGCTGGAGAGAGTCCAGCGCAGGGCTACGAGGATGATCAGGGGCCTGGAACATCTGCCCTATGAGCAAAGGCTGAGAGAGCCGGGCCTGTTCAGCCTGGAGAAGAGGAGGCTGAGGGGGGACCTGATCAGCGTGTATAAATACCTCAAGGGAGGCAGTGAGGAGGAGGGGGCGGCCTCTTTTCAGTGGTGGCCAGTGACAGGACTAGAGGAAATGGCTTCAAACTGAAGCATCGGATGTTCCACAGGAACTTAAGGAAGCATTTCTTCACTGTGAGGGTGACAAAGCGCTGGAACAGGCTGCCCAGAGAGGCTGTGGAGTCTCCTTCTTTGGAGATCTTTAAAATCCGGTTGGATGCAGCCCTGTGCCCCGTGCTCTGGGTGACCCTGCGTGAGCAGGGGGATTGGACTCAATGACCACTGAGGTCCCTTCCAACCTTCGGCATTCTATGATTCTATGATCACCTGATACTGGCACTCCTGACACTGGAGCCACAAAGAAACAGCACAGCTTCACCTGAACAGCTTGGCGTATGAATAAGCTCTTCTGAACCCAAGACAAACATCCAGAATGCAACTGCTGAACAGTGCTTCCCCACTCAATATTGACAGTGAAGTAGTTGATCCATGAATTAGTGTTTTCCACTATCTCTGCAAGAATCATGAAACTTTAGCAAAACTGAAGAACAATAAATGCTGCTACAGCTATACAACAGTGAGAGAGAAGTGAAGTGATAAGGTTTGACGTAGTACTCCATCTAGGTATTTTCCTAAGTTCTTTTTCCTCTAATTTTTCCTTCCTTGTTGTTACCTCCCAAGTGAAACATATTCTCAATTTTTAATTGAAGCTTGTGAGTAATAAATATGGATTTTCTCTTCAGAAAACTCAGAGTTAGGCATGAGAAAGAAATATTTTAACATCTGCACATGAAGCCTTCTTTCCTGCACTTCTCAACAGAAGCGTCGTTTTGGAAGCGCTGTTCTTCATGTCATTTTATTCTGTTAAGTTCTCAGATACTATGTCAAGACCTTAGGCACAGAGTAGTGCAAACAGCAGAGCAGTGAAAGCACAAGTGAACTTCGTGAGGAACACTTTGTGAAGCAAAGAGATGAAAAATAAGTGTTAAATGAACACATGAAATGGGCAAGGATATTATCTCAAACCACAACTTTGTTTAGCTAGACCTAAAAGAAATCTAGAAAAGCTTACCTTGTCTTTCCTTTTATGCTGCAATAATTGCTTACAATCATACAAGATATGCTATATATATGTATGTCAATATACATGAAAAATTTATGTCATTTCACAACTAGCAATGAAGTTTCATACATACACAGTTAATAACAAGGTTGCATACATTTACTGTAAAACAAAATCAGAGTCTAACTTACCCTTTACTTTTAGAAATCAGACCAAGAGACTGACTGAGGCGGTGAATAAAAGCTCTTTCAGTACTAGTCAAAGAAGATGGGAACTCCATTTCTAGAAATAAGACAAAAGCGAAAGAAAAAAAAGTGACAACATGAAGTACAATATTCTTACCACTCTCTGGCACAGATGCCACGAATTTTGCAGTTCTCAAACCTGTATTTCCCTGGGAAGGGCAATAAATCCCATACAAGCAATGTGAAGCAATGGCAGTGGTGCACCCTCCTGACCCGTAAGGAGGAAGCTTTGTGCAGGCGCGGTGCTATCCGGCCAAAAAGGAGGTGACAGACGGCTTTCGCTACGGCCTAGGCGCCCGTGTCCCCCCGGCCCCGCTCCTCCGGCTCAGCCCAGGCGCTCGCCCTGCGCACCGGGGCCGGCTCCCACCCCCTGCGGCTCTTCCGCGCCCGCGGGGCCGCCGCACCTGTGGGCCGCGGCGACCCGCTCCCCTAACGGCCGCCGCTCCCTCCCTAACGGCCGCCCCCGCCTAACGGCCGCGGCTCCCAGCCTAACGGCCGCCCCAGCGGCCGCGCCGCCGCGCACCTTTCTGGTCGCCGTAGCGGAACCGCTCCAGGGCGATGTTCACGGCGATCTTCACCTCCTCGTCGATGCGGATATCCTTGAGCCCCTTGGCGCGGCCGCGGCCCGCGGCGGAGGCGGCCGCGGCGGGGGTGGCAGAGCCCCCCGGGCCGCCGCTCCCGCCGCCGGGCTGCCGCGGGGAGACGCTGCTGGGCCGGGACATGGCTGCGCGGCCGGAGCGGAGGGAACGTGAAGACCGGGCGGGCGCTGGGACAGCGCTCACGCCCACCCGGACGCCCCGGGTACCGGTAACGCACGGCCCAGTCGGGAAGCGCCGAGAGGGCGGCGGCGACGGACGCACGGAGAGGGCGGGAGCAGGCGGTGCCGAAGGCGCGCATGCGCAGAGTGCGCCGCCTCCCGAGCAACCTCCCTCCCTCCCGCCCCAGGCTCCCGCCGGGCGCAGGCCCCGCCCCCTCAGAGTGCCCGCCCAGGGGTGGGGCCAGCCCCAGGCGCAGGCTCCGGCCGTTGGGGCGCGCGGCCGTTGGGGCGCGCGGCCGTTGGGGCGCGCGGCCGTTGGGGCGCGCGGCCGTTGGGGCGCGCGGCCGTTGGGGCGCGCGGCCATGTTGACTGCTGTCTCTCTTCGAGCTTCTCCTTAGATCCTTTAGGCAAAGGGAGCGGGCGGGTGGTGCCCGGAGGCGGTGCGGGAGCAGCCTGTTCCGACAAGGAACTGCGCAGTTTTCCAGGAAACTTCGGATGGCCGCGGAGCGCAGGTGCTGGGCAAGGTGCAGGGGGGTGAGGCCAGCACAGCCCTCAGCCTCCTGGTTGTGAAATACTGTGCAGTGTACATTTGTACCACTTTTTTTTTGCCATTAAGTAGTTTGCTGGTGTCCTTAGAGAATTGTTTTGGTCAGCAAATATTTGGGCAGAGGTATCCTCTTTTCTGTCATTTCTCTTGACTCCAGAATGAGGGTGTGGAAAATTTACTCATAGACATGTCCCAGGATCCACAGCTCGAGGTGCCTCTGTGGAATAAACAATCATTAAGTCCTTGACCACAAAATTTTGAGCGTGCTTTGACCAAGAGCAAACTGATCCTCAAGTGTGACCTTCAGTGGAGAGCTGAGTAGGTGACAGGCAAATGCTACATGTCTGATGTGGCTGCCTGAAAATACCTAAGAGGGTCTGACCCAAGTTGCTCGCTTCAGTATAAATTTGCTCAAAGAAGTGGCATTGCAGTTGAAGGTTTGCTTGGTCATAGGTTATTTAAATCTCAGTTTTTAAACAGATGTCCTACATATTTTCAACAGCATTAGAGCTGTTGAACATTTAATGCTATTTAGCTTCAGGTATTTCTGTGATACTTGGTAGTGTAAGCACGTATTCAAGCACATCACACTAATCAATTAGATTTCATAACATCACAAGATAAGAATTTTTTTTCTTACTGTTGACAGTAATAAGTGAGAGATGAAAGCTGTAAAAAGTCACATTGGAGATCTGTGATTATGAACACCATTATGATCTATTACCAATTTCTGTCATAATAGCATGTTCTTGCCTTCCTGCAATAAATAGATAACCATTCTGCAAAATGATTCTGCAGGACCTAATATGACTTCAACTTTCTAATCCTGTGTATACAGCAGCTTATAGACATAATTCGTTGCTGTTATGTTAAAGTCATATGCAAAGCTAAGAGCACAATAGGGCATAATGGGATCCTTACCTAACAGATCTCCTATTACATTCATTTCTTCTTCTGTGTTGACTCTGTAAAGCTATTAAATGTGAAAAAGCAGGAAAATATTATTCTAGTAACTCAAAAAGAGCACAGAGCACACTCAAAACACACAGCAAATTTACACGCTGAATAAAGGAACTATTTTAATGTGGTCTCTCCTGAAAATAAAGCTGCTGTTTAAGGAGTGTGGCCTGAGTTTGCATCTAATGTAATCCCATTGGTAGCATTATACCAGGAGTTAATTTGTCTCCAGGAATTTAAGACAGGAACTCATAAAATATAAGTTAAATAAGGGGAAGCTTGACTCACTAAACTAATAATGTTTAAGTTTCACACATTGTAAACATGCGTGGGGTGCTGGCACATAAAACATGATAGTTCATTATCGATTTTTCGCTATAAGTATGCCTTAAAAATCCTCAAATGGCCCATAAATCATTTTTCCAAAACCGATATAAATTGGAGGAGGCAGCATTTATGTAAAAAAATTACTGAACACAAAGTAATTAAATACTACATAAAGCAGAAGTTTTCTTAATGAGTAGTTGTTATCCTAATAATGCATGCTACAGCAGTGCTTGGTCCTGCTAACTAGTAGATTATAATCTGTATGGAGTGTACAAAACCCAGAAGTTTGCTGTAACATAAGACTGTGTGTAAAGGAGTGGTTGAGCAAACTGGCCCCCTGGTTTGAACACCTGTGAATGTATTTGCAAAAAGTCACTATGGGTGATTCTGGACCACCTCTGAGGCTGCCCACCAGCTCAGACTTGCCTGCAAGCAGGCAGCAAACCTGGGAAGGACAAGCAGTTGCATACACTGTGCAGCATCTGGGATCCAAATGTGCTGTATTATTGTGCCAAAGGACATGTCACCACAGCCTGCCTGCCTGCCAGGCCAGGAGAGAAACAGAAGTTGGTGTGCATCATGCTTACTGGTGTTTTTTCACAACCACCTAAATTTTCTGCTCTTAAAGAAGTAGCACAGTCTTCCCTTTATTAGGGACAGGTGGATCTCTACAGTTAGGCTAACCAACATAGCGGATTTAACAGTCCTTTTTTTTCATTGTTGAAGTTTAGAGATTGACACATTTTGTTTGTTATGATTAACTCCAGTGAAGTGTCTGTAAGAGCTGTTTTGACAGCATATACTTTTTTCCCTGTAGGAATGCTTTGTCTTTTAAACATACTGATTTGTCAGAATTACTTGCTAAATAATGTAGTCGGGCCCTTAGGTCTATCTGACCTCTCTTAGGCACTTGCTTGAGATGTCTCAGAGGAAAGGGAAGATATAACAGACCATTGTGTCAAAATAATTTTCCTCAGAAATTTCTAAGTTTCTAAGTTCTTAAACGTGGTGGTTTATGTGTATTACTTAAATGTTTTATACTCATAAAATTTACTGGCTGCAGGTTTTCTCATTATAATTAGTAACTCATAAGACTTTTAAAAACCTTATTTCATGACTGGTTTCAGAAATGCCTTCTATCTGAGGAGTTTCACAGAGCAAAGATTCCTGGAATAAGAATTATTTCCTTCTCCACCATAGGTCCAAATGCCCATATATATTTTTATGAGAAGTGGTAAGAGGCAGCAGAGATTTATGCTAAACATAGCTGCATGTTCAAAAACAAGCTTTCTTCTTTTGCCCTTCTCAGAGGTACTTTCATTATGTAACAGTTTTTGCTGGCTTGTTTTTACTTTGCATAATATTCTCCCTTTCCTGTACTGCAAAACTCCACAACGGATGCCACTATATCGAGAAAAAGAACTTTAAAGAAAATTCTTGAAATAAATTCAACCATTATTGTGAATGTGCATTGTATCAGAACTGACTCCAGCATTGTTAGTCTTTGTCATTTTTTAATAGTTTTAGTAGAGTTGTAAGACTTCGTTTTTCTTCTTTAACATATCATGCATGGATCTAATATTAATCTGCGAGATCAATTAATCAAAGAACAGAAGATTTCATTTCTTTCATTATAAAATGGTATTCTTGTACTTTTTTATTTCAAGTATATTTGTGACTGAAGAGTTACTGGTTTATTAAGTTTCTGTATGAATTATATCTGTGAGAATAGATTAATCTGAAATTGTAATGGGAGATGTTTAAGAACTGACATCTGGTGATAATGGGCCCTGGTACTTTACTGCACAATACACTGATGGTTCCCTAGGATTTTATTGCTGCTATGGGATGTAAATGGATGATTGCCTCCTCCCCATTTATGTTAACACTTGTACCATATACTGACATATTCACCATAATTTCTCCTCCATTTTTTTTCTCCTCCTATGCCCTTACACTCTCTAATTTCTATTTAATTTTAATTTACTATTTATTTTTTAGCAATAAGGCAGCAAGTGTATTGGACAGATTAAACAGACACATTTATCAGCGTGTCTGTAGATATATAAATGTATTTACATGTATTTTTTTTTCCTGATCTCATTCCCTCCCTGAAATAATATTTGATCATCTTAATGAGTTTAAACCAAATTTAAAGGCAGGGTAGCAAGGCAGAAATCTCAGACACTAAATGTATTTAATAGTTTAGTAAATACAGACAGCATAGAATAGAAATCCTATTTATATTCAGCTCAATAGAAAGGTTGCAGCAGTAGTTCAAGGGGATGTGGAGCTTCTAGAGAGGGTCCAGCAGAGAGTGATAAAGATGATTAAGAGACTGGAGCATCTGTTTTATGAGGGGAGACGTAAGTGAGCTGGGCCTGTTAAGTCTGGAGAAGACTGAGAAGGGATCAATATATACAAATACTTGAAGGGTGAATGTAGGGAGGATGGGGCCAAACTCTTTTCAGAGGTGACCAGGAATCCCAAATCTTACCAGGTTGAGAGGTGAGCTGAAGGCAGGGAAGATATCATACCTGTCTTTCATAAGCTCATGTCTCTGTTAAAATTGGAATTTGGTGCAATTGGTTATATTCCCTGAAGAAATTTAATTAGGCTGGTTCAGCGTTTCCAGAAAGAACACTGTTTCACTAAAATATTTTGACTACCATGCTTGAGTTGCAATTTTCGGGAGCACAGAACTTTTTTAACTATTGCGGCCATCAGCAGTCTGCAGAAATAAAAAGTCATCAAGGTTACCTCATGGTGACAGTCTAAAGGACAATTTATCTTTAAAATTGTCCCTTCTTTTTTATCAACTAAAGTAGCATTCTATTAACTGAGATATAAATTAAAAAAAAAAAAAAAGATAAAAACAACGGAACTATTCAATATCTTTGTCCAAATAGATATGAAAGAGATTCAGGAAATAAATATTCTGCCATGTTCACAGATGCATATTGTTGAGTTGCGCACAAGATTCAGGACTGGCAACTTGTATTTAGTAGGAGAGGTTTTTTAGGACATTGCTTGAAAACAGACAAAAGACAAAACTTTCTGTTTCACATTCATTATCATGCAAAAGTGCATCCTTTAAAACAAAACAGACTTACAAGCTGGCTCAATATTGTAACGGTGAAGAATAAATAGAAAGGTTCCCAGAAGAATATCATACAGACTTCTAATATAATATCTAAATGAAAATATTTCCATTGTTAAAAAAAAATACATAATTTTAGCCATTCCTGTTTTGGAGCAGAAGAAAAAAATGTTTAATTACAAAAAAAAAAAAAAAATCCTTCAAAAATACTGCTTTGATGAAGAATTTTCAGCTGGTTGTGCTTGATAGCAATTCCACAGTAAAGGCTGCATGAGATTAGCATTTCTAGCAAGAGTGAATTACGATGTCTGTGATGTGAGATGGATGTAAATGAAGTAATGGGAGTATTTTACATATTATTTATTTAAATTCACATTATCTTTTTGTTACAATTAAGACAGATAAACAAAAGTAGTCTTTATTGGAGGCTACTGAAATCAAGGATAATCTTTCCTTTGATATCAGCAGCCACTGTTTTCAGTCCTTGTATATGTTAAAAACTTGAGTCTGAATACCTAAATAGTGACAAAATTTAAACAGCTAACACCCCTAAAATGTATTATAGTAACATTAGAGCATGCATGTTTTAAGTTTTTCATTAGGAAAAAAAAGTATTAATGTACACTTCTCTTATTTAAAATTGCTTACATATAAACATGTTTACATAGATGTTACACAGGTCTAAATAACAAAGATGTTATTTAGGTCTGCTAAATCTGTTAGCAGATTTAGCTAATGGTATATCCTCCACCTCTTACTATTGTGGTATATGTACCCAGTCATATGATGTAAAAGTGACTGGTAACTGTACATATCCACTGTACCTTTTGCAACTGGACCAAAATCTCTGCAAACCAGATTAACATCCTCCATACCTGATTTTGTCTTCTTGATGAAATTGTTATGGGGCCCCAAGGACACTGCAAGCTCTCCCTATCCCAACCCTCAGTCCCTGCCGCACAATGGCACCCTGTCTGGCACTGTCCCTGTCTCATAGGTGCCTGCCCAACCTGGTGTCAGCCCTGCTCTCTCCCCATGGCAGTACCCAACGCCAAAGCTGTGGCTGCCCGTGGTGCCCTGCTCCCTCAGGGTGAAGATGGGCTCAGGCTGCCAGACCTTGCCCTGCCATTGTGGAAAGCTGCTGGTCACATGGTGACCTGACAGGGTAAGTCCATCTCCACAGGAGTCCCAAATATATCTCACCTTTAATGCACAGCTGTGGTGGGCTCCGAAGGCAGTTACATTTCAAGTATGGGAAAAGCAGGTTGAGGCACAAGAAAACAGAAGAGAAGCAGCTTAAAAGATACTTTCCACATCATTATTATCTGTCTCTAGCTGTGCTTTCTCCTTTTTCTGCATAGTAAGCATCCACGAGAAACTGAATGCTTGTTGAACAGCTTTAACGGGGTTTCTGTATCATTGTGCATATAAATATTCCTGTAACTAATCAGCTAAATACACAGCTAAATACAGATTGCTGACCAGCAGCAGAGTGGACAGAGCCATGACCCCCAAAGGGGGCAAAGCTTCCACAAGTTGTAACTAAATGCTTGACACGTCAAATGGTTGTCACCTATTATCTGCTTTAAAACTTTTTTTTTTTAATAAATGTGTACAGTAATGTGTTCTTAAAGCACGGCATTTATGGCACCCTTGGTGTTCAAAATCTTTTCCTGCATTTGGCAGAAGTAGCAGTGCATTAAACATAAAGGCTTCAGGGATTTTGAATGAGTTGAACTGTGTGCTAAACTTAATGTTATCTTCCTATGTTCACATTTCTCTGTCCTCATTCTATCCTTGTCTGAATAAATAGGTAATTGATTAACTCTTAGAATGTGCTTTGTGTTTTAAAATTTGCTCATAAATGTGGCCTGAGGTACTGCAATGCACAGGAAGAAAAATGAGTATCATAAAGCTACCTGTCCCTCTTGCTTCATTTCCATTTATTGGTGAAAGCTAGGGCAGAACACTGCTGTCGCATCACTTAAGTGTAGTCCTGGGCCTACTTAGCAAGTAGAGGTGAAAAAAAGAGGATAGAAAGTGTACTTAAGTTAGGGAGTAGCCTGCCATTTTGCACTTTCTTTATAGTGGTAGCAGTCAGTTTACAGGGAAAAATTTGTTACCTAATAACCTCAGCCCCCAATCTGCCTGCAGTACCCCAGGTGCAGCCTCACCGGAGCAAGATCCCCTCCCCCCACCTGCTGCCAACATCCTCCTGATGCAGCCAGGATCCCATGGGCCTTCTTGGCCACGAGGGCACTGCTGCCTCATGGGTCGCTTGGTGTCCACCAGGACTCCCAGGTCCCTCTCTGTGGAGCTGCTCTCCCTAACCTGTACTGATGTCTGGGGTTATTCCTGCCCAGGTGTGGGACCCTCTCTGTGCTATTCAGGTTCCTCTCTGTCCAACTCTCCAGCCTGTCCAGGTCCCTCTGAATGGCAGCACAACTCTCTGGAGTGTTGTCTTCTCCATCCAGCTTGGTATCGTCCACAAACGTGCTCAGGGTGCCCTCTGTGCCCTTGTCCAAGTGACATTTAACTTAAATAAAAAGTTAAATGAAAATAGATTGACACTTACGGTTCTTGGTTTAAAAAAAGAAAACCCACAGGCTCTCTCCTTTTGAGAAATACCAAGCCTGTTTTCAGAGAGCGAGGATAGACTGAAGAGGATAGGCAGCAATATGGACATCTGCCCGCTTGTGTTCCTTCCCTGATGTCTTTCAGCTGCCTCCTGGACACCACTCATCCTTCCCAGCAGGGACAGTGAGCTGCAGAGCTTGTTCTCTGTGTTAAATATGTTATTTTTTTTTCATCTGAAAATCATATTTTTTGCTGCAGGAGTGGACTACTGTATTAATAAAGGCATTGAGAAGTCCACGCATTTACTGCTTAGACTGCTGCTTCCTAATAGATGTATCTTCCTTTTAAAGCCTGCATTTGTATCAGGATACCAGACAGTAAACTCAAGTGGTTTTATTCTGTTTTGTTCCATATTCCAACCAGGATATCATCTGTTCATATTGACTAGATGAAAATGTCTTTAGTAAGTTTTGTACAAAGAAAAATTAGAAACTACTGTAGAAGGTTTAAAGAAGTTGCCTTGGGACTTAGGCCAAAGATGCAAAAATTACCTCTCCCCTCCTAGGAGGGGAAAAGCTGTCAGAAAACACACAACAGATGCAGAATATATGTGAGAATTCTTGTGTGTGGTGTTGAACAGCTACAGTCTATGGGATGTGGCTGAAGCACAGTGGTCTCGTGACTGTCCAGCTGATTCAGCAATATTCTGTTTTCAAGATAAAAGACAGCTGCAGTGAGCAGCTGGGCTCACACATGGAAAAGATGGAAGAAGATGGAGGATGAGCAACTGTGGGTAAAAATAAGCAATAGGTTGGAGGTGAAAAGTGAAAGATGATCTTCAAAGACTATACACTGTGTATGCTTGGAGGAGGAAGATACTTGTGGGCATTCTCTGTTTGCCTGTCTTGATGAAGTAAGCAGATATGCTGGCCAGGAGCCTGGTGCCATACCTCCATGCTTTAGCAATCTACCACGCAGTGCTCTGGGAAATGGAAATGGGAAAACAGCACAGAGTGAGAATACATGAACGAGTAAGAAGAGGAGGCTGAGGGGTGACCTGATCAGTGTGTATGAATTACCTCAAGGGAGGCAGTGAGGAGGAGGGGGCGGCCTCTTTTCAGTGGTGGCCAGCGATAGGACTAGAGGAAACGGCCACAAGCTGAGGCACCAAAAGTTCCACAGGAACTTAAGGAAACACTTCTTGACAGTGAGGGTGCCAGAGCCCTGGCACAGGCTGCCCAGAGAGGTTGTGGAGTCTCCTTCTCTGGAGATCTTTAAAACCCGCTTGGATGCAGCCCTGTGCCACATGCTCTAGGTGACCCTGCGTGTGCAGGGGGGTTGGACTAGATGACCTCTGAGGTCCCTTCCAACCTTAAGCATTCTATGATTCTGTGGTTCTATACTGCAAAGCAGTTTTATCCTCTAAAACATAGAGGCTCTTTGCCTTGCAGTGACTTAATCAAGATGCAATAAATATTAAGAACAATTGGCATCAATTATCTTAAAGGAACTGTGTGCCAAGAGGAGTTAACAGCCAGGAAGATCAGGCTGTCATGGAGGAAGACCAGGATGTCTTTTAAAGACTGAATAGCAGGACAGCATTTGATAGTGGAAACAGAAATTATAAGGATTTTTTTTCCATATACAGAAAATACAAGACTTTATTGGCCTCATTAATCACAGCCTGACACAGTGACAAATGTAATGCTACTGTGAAAAAGGCAAATGCTGTTCTAGGCTGTTTCAAAATAGGTATAACCAGTAGGTGTTGATAACGGCGGCAAGGTGTGAATGAGATTAAAATACTTGTTTAATCTGGAAAACATGAAGACTGTAAAGGAGAACAGCACTTCATGTAAACTCTGATCAGTGGAGAGGAAATATTTTGTATGAATACCCAGAGGTGCTGGTGTTCAATGCTCACCCACCTGTACCGTCCACATCAAGAAACACGAAGCCTGCACATTGCTGCGGAGGGAGTCAACTGCTGTCGCTTGCCTCAGCTCAGCCTGGGCAGGTGAGCCCAGGGGAAGGGAGGCCACAGCTCTGCCCGTCAAGCAGGGCGCAGCAGTTGTGGCAACGGCGGGACGCCGCGCAGGGCCCCAGCCCGCGCCCCGCTGCCCCCTCAGCTGCGAGGGCGTCGCCGCCGCCCGGGCTCTTCCCCGC